GTTATTGATCTGTTATTGATCTGTTATTGATCTGTGATCAGTCCCACTGAAGGCCGCTTGAGACCTGTCGCGCGACACTGTGACATCAAAATGACGTAGATCTCGCTGGCGACAGGATTTTGGCCGCTGGCGCGAGGTCGCCACCACTCTTTTTTTTCAGCTTTTCTTTTTTTTTTTCTTCTTCTTCTTCTAGTGCGTAGAAATAGCAAAGTCGGTAGTAGCCTTTGCTCAGTTGCGCCACCTCTGTTCAGGAGAAGACTGCAACTAGTGTCGCGACCACCAGCGACAGTATAAATAGTTACGGCGCTCCCGTGACGTCACGTTGTCGCGCGACAGGTCGGCAGTGGCGAGTCTACAAGACGCTTGACACTGATTAAAACTACGGGTGCTTCGGTTGATCAATATTAGTTTGATCGGTACGATCAGAAGAGCCGATCAGCTGACACATTGATTTTATTCCACAGGCAGTTATGACTGGGATTAGGATTTTATCATTTCCCTGTACACTGTATGATTAGTTATTGATTATCAGTTATTGATGGTTGTGTGGATCGCCCCCTGCAGGATGTGAGCTGTAATGAGATCCAGACTCTACCGTCTCAGGTGGGTCAGCTGGAGACTCTACGAGACCTGAACATCAGGAGGAACCACCTGGTCAGACTGCCTCCAGGTACACACACACACACATTTTAGCCAACTTAAAACACAAATGTTATTACACGAACAGGAAAATTGTTTCTTCAGTTTTGTCTGCATTATTTTGGTGGTAATTAATATGTGTGTGTGTGTGTGTGTGTGCGCGCAGATGCTGGGTGTGCAGGGAGCCAGTCAGGAGTGTCCAGGGGAGAACGCCCGGCAGCTAGCCAGGGTTGTGTGTGCCACCGTGCTGGCTGGAGAGCTCTCGCTGATGGCTGCTCTGGCTGCTGGTCACCTGGTCAAGAGTCACATGACACACAACAGGTAAGAAAAAGGAACCTCAATTCACACAAACACAAGTCATATAGTCTGAGCTGTTCACCACTCTGCACAAAAGTCAGCAAGTTAAGCATATGGCAAACCATCTTTACACCAGTAACACCAGCATGTCAGTCTCTTTCTGTTGCTGTGCTACTGGATTAGGAAGGAAAAAAGCAGAGGTTTTGGTTTACGACCTACTGAAAAAAAAGAAACCCTGCTGGGAATACTGCGTCTCTCTGTCTGGAAGATGAGCACTTCTACTAGCGTCCTGCTTTTGGCCGGTACTTTTCAGTTCAGCGTAATTGAATACCGCTTCTTATCACATCTACTGGTATCCAAACAGAGAGGAAGTGGAGTAAGGCCCACCTCTTGCTTGATTGGCTGTCTGGGCTAAGTGTGACATTGGCAAGCAGTGCAACTCTGTGCCACTAAACAGAATATTTGACCTTTTCTGTGCATTTAAAAACACGTCACACAGCGTAAGAGCAGAGTGCACACCAGGCGATGTGTTTCGCCTGCTTATTCAGCTACACTCCAGGCTTCCTAAATGCTCCAGAGCAATGGGGACTGTTGTTGGCAGTGATTGTTTGGACCCCAGAATACTTACTTGCAAGGCTAATGTTTGTTATTACAAGAATTTTACACTTACATTTACAGCCTTCGCTAACTTGCCATACAGCTCATCTGTCTGTTCCGTGTGCAGATCCAAGGTGAACCTACAGGAGACTCCTGGAACGTGCACCAACAAAGCCTCCTGAGAGCCTGAGAGCAGCTGGGCCTCCCTCAGGGAGCCCGGGTCACTGAACGGAGCAGTAAACCCAGGGAACGATGGACAATTTGAAAGAGACTAATCATTCATCACTGACCTCAGACGTCTTCCAAGTGCTTTCAAAGAGACACTGGAGTGTCTTCTGACCAATCTCTATGCTAGATATGAAAAGAATCCATACAAGCTAATCAGACTATTCTGTGGGAGCATCTTCTTTTTCTCTATGTTTGTGTTTAATGGAGCTGGCTAGGAGACAGTTAATTGCTGACTGCTTTTATTTCCACATTCAATGCTGTCAGGTTTGGTTTGGGTTCAAATGAAACATTTCTACTGTCCTGTTGCCAAATGGAGCACTGTACACAGAAGCAGTGATGCCTAAAAGGTGAATGTTTGTGATTGTTGAATGAGTGCATGATAACAATGCTTCTTACTACAGATTCTGGTTGTTTGTGAAGCTAACAAGGACACAGTGTCACAATTGTGAAGCAGCCCACACAGTTCAGCAGTATAGTCCTGGTTCAACCACAAGAGGACGGAAATATGAAGCATGACTGACTCATTGAATGAATGAACAAATATATGAAAGAATGATTATCTGGATCCAAGAGGCACTTTAAGACTGCAAGAATCTCCAGTATGTACAGCACAGAACAGGTGAGGACAAAATCATGAGTGTGTCCTTCAAAATAGGATGGAAAAGGCTCCAAGTGCCTATACTGCTAATGGGAGTATGCAACACATAATTCCTGTTGAGATTACTCTGTATAATTAACCAAAAAGAAATGTAGAACTGCCCATTTACTGCAGATATGTGTGGAAACAAACTTGCAGAGACAGAGAATTTGCATGTGAGGTACTGTAGTCCATCCCTTTATGTCTGCTTTTAATCAAGATAAAGGCGTGTTGTCACTGTGTGCTGATGCAGTGACAGACTTTTCAAACCAGTCTGTATTTTAAACCGCATTAGCATGTAATGTCGATGCGTGAAAATGTCTCTGTCATGGTGAGACTTCCTGTTGTTCCAGCAGATGGCAAATATTTTGGATATATTTTGTAATAAATACATAAGGACTTTACACTGACAGGTTGTGCTGTTTTTATTGATGCTGTGTCATGAATAGCACATGAGCTGGAGTGATTCCCAACTATCACTGAGTAAGTGCATATTTTATGGAGATTTCATATATTCAGTGTATATCAATCAGCAGAGAACAACTGATACACTGTACAATGAACCCAAACAGTGAACACAATATCTGCAGGAAGGTTGTGTAAAATGATGAATTCTGAGCTGATTATTTCCTGTGAATATTGAATCAGCGATAGGTTTTACTGATATGTTTTGGAACTTTTTATATACAGTTTTTTTCAACAATCATACACACTTAAACATCCCCTCCAGACATATATTAAGACATAAATACATTAGTCTGCTTGAAACAATGTCTGATATGTTCTGTATTTATTTTTTTGCTGCAAGAAAGAAATTGCAATGCAATAAGCACTGGTGGCTTCAGGTTTCTACATCACACTGTACAAGTTGCATAGTGGACCTTTTTTTCCCACACGCCTTAAAATCAAGGCCTTATGACCCACTGTGAAGCTTTGGCGACTATAGTGGGCGTCAGGACCCCCATGTTTGGAACCAGTGAGAAGGGATATGGAATTTACAATAACATGACAGTAAACACATAGTTGTCCTTGACACTGCAGAGCTGAGGTTCATGGCGTTCAGCAGTTTGTATCTGATCTGTGAAGCCCCCACATGTGGCCTGCAGCATGTGAGGACTGCATACAGGAGCTTCATGTAGCACGGTTTTGTTCCAGTGTTCATAGATTATTGATAACTGCTGATTGCTTTCATAAACTGAAACGTTAGTGACAGTTTCCCACTGGGAAAAGCAAGCAGCTGCCCAGGGGCCCCAAATCCTTATGGGGCCAATGAGCAATAGGTTCATTGTGTCCATAAAGAGTGAAATAAGAAGGTCATGCTTGTATTATTATGTGCAGCTCTGTGAGTTGGTTTTTCATGCACAATAATACACTGTAAGAAATGTCTGTAGGTTTTACGGTGAAAACCTGTCAAACCATGTCAGCAAAAGACCATACACTCCAAATAGGTTGAATACAGTTTTTGTAACAGTAAAAAACTGTGATGTCTTACAGCAAAACATTTATTTATACAGGATTTTAAAATGTATATGGAATAAAGTAGTTTTTTTATATTACAGACTGTAAATTGCCCAGAAAACATTCATATGGTATTTTCATGTGGAAAAACTGTTTCTTTTGGTGGTAAAAACTTTTTTTATTTATATGGTAAAATATGGAATAAAACTCTAACTTTAACCGTACAATCCAAAGTACTAATATCCTTTTACCGTAATAGTGAAAAAGTTCTACCATATTTATTATGGTAAAGTTCTGGCAACCATAGCTGCCAGTTTTTTACAGTAAAAATATATTTTTTGTTCATGAATTTTAACTATAAGAGGTAAATGGGATGAAACAAAAATACTGTCTTTACAATTAGTTATGCATTAAGATCTTAAACTAGAGGGTTTGAATCCTGCACGTGCCCTGCTCTGAGACCACCAGTCCCTCAGGTTGAACCCAGGATCACTGATCAATCTAATCAATGAATGACAGCTGCAGGTTAGTGAAAGTCTAACTTCTAATGAGATTACGCGGCTTTAACTCTCTCCCCTTTTCCCCACATCCTGTCTAATAGAGATCCTCAGCAGAGGTCTCAGTCGGAAATCCTCCACTGATCTCTCAGTGAACAGCCCTCACCAGAGAGGCTGCCAGCCAATCAGACGGGCCCTCAGCACATCTCACCAGTTGTCAACGGGCTGATTGGCTGAGCCCTGGTAGGACGGCTGCATGGGGGGCAGACTCATGAATAAAGTGGGGTGTGAGCGTTGGGTGTGAGCTGGTCTGAAGTTTGTAACAGAACCAGAAGGGGTTAACAGCCACATCTCTATTCTCCTCTTTAACACTTTAGGTACTGGAATTAGCACGTGACATGAATCAGTTACTTTCAATAACATCAGGAATTAAAAGTATAAATATTAATTAATTAATTAATAGTATCTCACACTCTGCTAGACATAAGGAAGAAGAACTATTTTTATTACTGGCTTATTGTTCAAGTATTCATTACACTGGCCTGCTGTTCAGATATACTGCAAAATTATTATTAAATTGTCTCTTTTAGTCTCTTTCACAACAAAATTTCATGATCGAAAATATAATATATATATAAATATAAAAGTATTGCTGGAGTACAGTACATACAATGCTCTGTAAGCACAAAATGTTTTGGAGCTTTGCTTCATTCATAAAAACAAAACTGTAGTGAATAAACAGAATGCATTATTGACCTGTGTCTGATGAACATGATGAAAGAGTGAAACTGTGAGATGAGCAGCACTCAGCAGGAAGGGGGGTGGATGCAATATCACTTTTAAAACAATCATTCTTTTATTGTGTCAGTGAGCTGACTCCACATTCACACTGTGACTGTGTACACTCTGCTGAATGGTAAGAGCGACGCAGGGAGGAACCAGGCTGAGCTCGGCTAACAACCACAAGTGTCATTCACTGCCCAGAGGGCCCCTCAAAGCCTCCGAATGTACAGATTCCTTCCTCCCACTCTGACGTGCTGGTTTCTACTACAACACACTTTTTTCATATATAACAGACAGGGGTTGTTGAATGCTAGATTGTATTTGACCAAAGCTTCAGTAGAAGTTCTAATACCAGACTGTGAAAATACTCTACTACTACACTACACTCACAGTCCTGCATTCAAAACCTTATTTAAGTTAAAGTATGTAGTATTTCCCAGGTAATCCAAGAATCCAAGGTTATTCATTGTAAGAAGTAGGATAATTTTCTCAACCTGCAAAGGAACACTGCATCATTCAGCTTATTACATTCACAATCAGCACATCTGAGACACGTGGTATTCGAGGAGTAGAAGCGGTGTTGTAGTGGTGCCTGGAGAAGTAGGTATACTCTTAATGTTTGCCCCATTTTTTTGTTTAAAGCAGCCTGTCCAGCACACATAAGACTACTATATTTAGAAAAAATGACCACTAGTATTATAACACATTGTAGCACATTGTCATGGAACTTCTGCTGATTGACTTTAGGCAGTAAGGATCAATATGAAATTAACATTATCCACAGAAGAATAAATACTGGCCCACAGACAGGTGAGACAACTACATAATTATACATTTTAAGTTTAGTATTCCTTACTATGTCATGCCTTTGTCATTCTAGAAAAAAATGACTAAATAATGAGCTTCAGAGGGGATTTAGAAGTGGGTATACCCAATGCTGACTAAAAAAACAAGTGGGTATACTCCATATACCTGCGTATACTCTACACTACACCACTGTGTTGAAGTATGAAGTTGCATAAAATGTAAATACAAAAAAAAAGTAAACTACAAGTACCTTGAATTTGTACTTGAGTACAGTACTTGACTAAATGGACTTACATTTAACGTTAAATTACTAGTTACATTCCACCACTGTTTCATACAAAATGTTTAAATGTCTGAGCCTACAAAATCAGTTTTCTTGCTGGTCTGACATGCTTACTGCTGTCTGTAAACGGAGCCACACTGCCCGCCCTCCAGTAGGGGGCAGTGTGGACTAACAATCGAACACACGAAGAAGCAGAGGAGGAAGGCGGAGAAGAAGTGGAGACACCGGTGAACTTTTCTAGAGCGTAAACAAGCTGCTAGCTGACCATGCTCTTATTCAGTAAAGCACCGTGTGTTTATTCGCAGATATGTCACCTTGCGAACACGCATCTCAACATGGCGACGGCGCAGAGCATCAGGAACCTCTCCAACCAGGTAGCTAGGGTTAGCTAACACGTAGAACTATTTATTATTATTTATTATTGTTCCATCCATTAGCAAGTCCACTGACAGTTAACGCACATATTCTTATTTAATGTTCCAGGTCAGGAGCTTGTCTCACCTCACAGGAGTTCGTCCTTTCACGAAACACACGCTTCATCCCATCTGTCGACTTCCAGACAAAGTAAGTTATGCCACCAGACTCCATTCAAAAAAATGGTCAGTTTAAGGACACATTGTTAGGGGCTTGTCCTACCTCCCGCCACATGTAGTTAGTGTTTACAATAAAACCGTATTAAGGAAAATGGAACTGTCACATACCAGGTCCCCTCATGGCCTGAGCTACTTTTAGGTGGAACATGCTGAGTGAACGGGATGAAGCCATAATGGATTTAGACACAGTTCTGATGATCCCTAATGAGACCTCCTTGTTGTTTAGTGTCTGACCTCAGTTTTTCTGTGTCAGTGGTTTGAGAGTGGAGTTTGTGGTGCAAGGTGGAGGAAGAACATCCATCTGACATCACCAAGGCAGGAGAAACCCACCCCTTTACAGATGAGGTAAAGCACAGTTCTTTTATTTTCTAAGCATCACTAGTCTGCATTGAATGTTGTTGTTGAATGTTCAAACTAATATGTAATCTTTTGTCACTGTCTTAAAAAGTGAGCTGTCAGAAGCGGCATATGAGAAGCTGGCAGATAAGACATTGGATGCTCTGGCTGATTATTTTGAAGACCTGACAGATGAAGCTTTCACTGGAGCAGACTACGATGTTGTCTTCTCTGTAAGTCAGTCTATTTGCTGTTCACTGCCACCTGTCTGACTGCAGTACATGGTGTTTTTACACTATAATAATAGGCTGATGAGCATCAGTTGTTCATGCCACTCACCTGAGAGGAAGGCAACAGGTTCGCTATCGTGGTTCGTATTTTCTACATCTTGTTAAAGGTCCAGTGTGTAACATTTAGGAGGATTTATTGGCAGAAATAATATTCATATGTCTGTTTTCGTTGGTGTCTAATCACCTGAAAACACGGTTAGAATTGTTGTGTTTTTGTTACCTTAGAATGAGCATGTTTTTATATGCAAATGCCACAGGTTGCCTTTTGGTGTGCCCCATGTTTAACAGCCGTGTTTCTACAGTAGCCCAGAATGGACAAACCCAACACTGGCTCTAGATAGAGCCTTAGGCATTTTT